GCTATAGGTCTCTGGGAAAAAAACCCCATAGAATCACAGAAGGGATATTGAATTTATTTATTCAATTTTTATCCTGCCTTTCTCTTGATATAGGGAGTTAAGGTGGATAACAACAAACACGACACAATACAATTAAACAAAGGAAATGCATTAAAATATGAATATGAAAGTTAAAAAAATCATTTGTGTCATTCAACATAGAAATATCAAAATATTTTAAAACTACACTTAAAAACTACAGAGCCCCCCCCTCCCCGATTGTTCTCCACTCGGAGTAGCCATCTTCAAGTTGATGCATTCCAAATGCTTGGGTTGGACTATACTTGCCATAATCTCATACTGTATTACTGTATTGGCTGGTAATGGTATAGACCACTGCTTCTTAAACTGTGAGTTCTGACCCCAAATGGGCCTTAGCTCAATGTTGGGATCATGAATATTTTGGTTATAGTAAATGGTTTCTGAATGGCACCCATTTACACAAATCTGTTAACAACGTGTAGTGTTTACAGTGGACTCTGCAGAAAATGCTTCACCTGTGCTTCATAAAAAGGAAAATCAGCCTGTTTAGCATATTTTGCAAATGCTGATTTATTTTCAGGAAATATTTGTTTTTAATACCTAGTTTATATACCTATATACCTGGGGTCACATAAAAAAATCTGGTGGAGAGGGGTCACAAGTGGAGAAAGTTTAAGAAGCCTTGGTATAGACTATTGCCTTCTACATCATCTAGTGGGCATAAGGTTGAGGAAAGATGGTTTTTAGAAGAACGCTTAAACTGCTTAACAGAAACCTACATGCCTGCAAAGTAAAAGATTGATGGCTAATTGGAGAGAGGAAACACCTCCTTCTTTCTTGTGGGCAGGCAATGTTTTAATCACAGCTGTGTGAATGAAAGTGCTGGGAGGATCAGCTTTCACACACAAACTTCAACAGAGTGTTGCTTTTGAGCTTCAATCTTGGCAATTTCTGGGTTCATTGTTCTTGTCACACTTGCTGCACATACTCTTGTCTATTTAGGCATAACCGGTTCCCAAACTCCTATGTCATTTTACTATGTCACTGATTCTTAAAACATTTGTATAGAATTGCTCACCAATCCTTCTAATAATATTTCCTGCACCGTTCCAATGAATCGGAAGTATTCTACTGAATATATTTACTTGTATGTGCAGTGCAGGGGGGAAGAGTACAATGAATTTGTAACAGTCCCCTTATTCAATTATTGCCATATATCAAGATCAGGCTGCTTATTTCAGAAAAATGGCAAGACACTCTTCAATGTATTTTTCTTTCTTTCAGAGATTTAGACTCTGAAAATTGGTTCCATTTATTGCACATTTTCTTTCTCACATGCACAGACCGAAAAGCATATGTGCAGTATGATATATCCGTATCTCTTTCTATGCAGTCATTAGACTGAAAAAACATTTTTGAAGTTATGTGTGAGAATCCTGCATAAATGGGATCTATTTTCTACCTATCAGATGCTTCTTGGTAAAATTGCTTTGCATTTCAGAAGTGAAATATATATTACTTAGACACAAAGCTCAAATTTTGAAGCCTTGACTTCCATTTTTTTAAAGGAAGAGCTATTACCTATACTGATAATCTCCTCATCTCATCAGCTTCTCCAATATGAGGTGATGATTCGTAAACTTGCCCTTCATTAAAGACTGGCTTACATGACTAGTTAATTATCTTTGTAGATGATGATAAGAAATGGGTAGAAAATGGGTATGCATGTCAGCGTAAACTTATCATTTTTTTATTTAGTGGACATGAACACAATTTATGGTGCAGTTAAGACTCAAAACTGGTACTTTCCACTGTATTAAAGGATGAACAGAGTTGGAAAAGTGTGAACAAAATGTGTAAATTTCAAAACATCGTACTAAGACTCTAGAGACCATTGTTCAAATTCCCACTCAGGCTGGATCTACACTGCTATATAAAATCCAGATTATCTGCTTTGAACTGGATTATATGGCAGAGTCATATAATGTTGTAGTTCAGCCAGCTAATGACGATGAGGGGTTTGGGGTTCAGGGCCTGGTAGTTCTGTGTGTGCCCAGACAGAGGAGGTTTTGGAGCAAGATGGTTCTCCATTTGGGAGAATGGAGGGGTTTCGGAGAAAGATGTTTCTGAGTGTGGGAATGAAACTGCTTTGGAAGCCGACAGGCAGGGAGGGGAGGATAACATTAGCTCATCTGAAGAAGCAGCTAGCTTAGACAGAGATACCAGGTTGTTCCTGAGGGGGAGGAGATTCGGGTGCAAGAAAAGCAATGGGAAGGGGAGGCAGAAGCAGACCTCTCAAGGCCAAAAGAATGCGTTCATGTTTTGCAGCCCTTAAATGAGAGAAAGAGAGAACTGTTAGGATTTCAGATCAAGCAATGTCGCTACTGGAGTAGGAAACTCCTATCTTGTTCCTGGTTCATACTTTAAGCTCAAGGCCCAAGATTCCTAATCAAGTTTTGCTTCCTGATTTATGGATTTACCTATGGATTCAGGCTCTTGTTTTGTTTCTTGTTTTCTGGATTAATGTTCAAGTTTTAACTCTTGTTTCTGAATTACCTATTGCCTATGGGACATGCTTTCTATATTAACACTTGGATTTGTACCTTATAATTTGCTTTAGGTGCCTTTGGCCCTTCCTTCTATGTGTTTTATCAATAGACTGTTTATTACCATGTCTGGTTTCCAGGTGAGTGCTGTGAGCAAGGTGAACTCCTGCTGAGGTGCAACATATAATCCAGTTCAAAGCAGGTAATTTGGATTTTCTGTTTTGATAATCTGGATGATATGGCAGTATAGATCCAGCCTTAGCTATGGCAACCCACTAATGACTTTGGCAAGATACACCCTCTCAGGGTGCATTTACACTGTAGATTTAATGCAGTCTAACATCACTTTGACTGCCATAAATTATGGAAACATAGGAACTGTAATTTTATAAGGTCTTTAGCCTTCTTCGCCGAAGAGTGCTGGTCTCTCACCAGCTCCCATGATCTCATAGCACTGAGTCATATGAGTTAAAGTGATGTCAAATTGCATTGATTCCACAGTGTAGATTCTACACTGTAGAAGATACTCTCTCAACCACAGAGGAAAGCAAAGACAAAAAACATCTGAATATATCTTATCAAGAAAAATCCACGATAGGGCTGCCATGAGTCAGAAATGACTTTGAAGTACACAACACAATATTTATATATTATTTATTTATTTATACATATATTGTGGAAGATCCGCATAGTTAAAGCAATGGTATTCCCTGTGGCAACCTATGGATGTGAGAGCTGAACCATAAGGAAGGCTGAGCGAAGAAAGATAGATGTTATATAAAAACAGTTATATAAAAACAATATATAACTGTGTTGCTGGCGGAAAATTCTGAGAATGCCTTGGACAGCAAGAAGGTCAAACCAGTCCAGGAAATAAAGCCCGACTGCTCACTGGAGGGAAGGCAAAGATGGCTACATAATGACAAGACAGGAAAGCTTGGAGAAGACAATGGGAAAATGGAAGGAAAAAGGAAGAGGGGTAGACCAAGGGCAAGATGGATGGATGGCATCCTTGAAGTGACTGGCTTGATTTTGAAGGAGCTGAGGGTGGTGATGGCTGACAGGGAGCTTTGGCGTCAGCTGGTCCATCAGGTCATGAAGAACAAAATGAACAAGATGTATGCAAGGATTTTCAGTGGACAACCCCTTTGCACAAATTTGCATTTAAAATGCAAATACTTGGGAAGTGTCAGCATGGTAGAGAGGTTTAGATGTTGGATTAGGATTCTGAAAACCAGGGTTCAAATCCTTTCATGAGCATGGAAGCCTACTAGGAGATCTTGGCCAAGTCACACTTTCTCACCTTTCAATGAAGGCAAGGTTAACTCCCCTGTGATAGATTCACATTAGGATTGCTATAAATTGGGAACAACTTGAAGGCTCACAATAAAAATAATACTTATTGCCTCTGATGTGGCAATAAAACAGAATGAAAAATGATTTTCAGTGAAATTGACCTTTATATATTCAGCCGATTCTAAGGATTATGCTCCATAAAAGCTTTTATTTAATTACTGATTACTGCCTGCACATCAAGAAAGGGCAAATATATAAGAGATTCACAAGAACTTGAACATCAGCTGAAGTCAGTCTCAAAATGTTGTGACTTGAAGCCGAGCATTTAAACTGCTTCCATAGACAAGAATTGTGCCAGAGGGGCTTAAGCTGTATCTGTGATAATAGAGCTGTGGATATTTATTTGCTGCATTTCTCTGGACACACTATTTGTTATATAAAAAAACCCTCAAGGTTTCTTATAATAAAACATGCAAAAGTTAAAAAGCAAAAAACCTTAAAAACAATATATAACATTGAAAAATACTACCTGCTGGCAGAACTTGCAAAACGTTATTGCTCAAAATGTGTAGCATTTTATGTGCTAAAATGTGTCTCTGTTTCACTCTTTTATTTTTTGCTTGGCAGCAGGTGGTGACATCTTTTGATTTTGGGAAGTATAGAATCTGTGGGTCTTCCTTGAAACTCAGATTTTCCAGATTTGTTGGACTGCAATGCCTATCATTATTATTATATAAGTAAAGCCATTTGATACCATTTGAATTATCATAGCTCCATTTTGGGATTTGTCGTTTGGAGAAGTTCTTAGAATTCTCTGTACCAGAGAGCGCTAGTGCTCTAGATCAGAGGAATGAAAGAGAAAGATCTCGAGCAAATAATCCTCACCAAACTACAAATTCCAGGATTGTGCAGTGGCAGTATCTAGAGTGTAGTAACAAGCTATATATTTAAAAATAGAGAAGCATTTTTTTAAAAAAAAACTTTAGAAAGTTCTGTAAAATTGGCAAAAGCTTGGGATTTTTTTTTAAAAAGCTGATAAGACTTCATACTAACGTCTGTTACTGTTTGTTTGCATTTCTTTCTTCAGACTGATACAGTCAGAGATAGGAAAAATGAGCTCTGCTTTCTTTTTCCCAGGCAATGCAGGCAACAACTTGAAGTTTCCCTTTTGTTGTAAAAACCGTAATAATTAAAAATTGATGCCACAACATACACTGGAATGCAGAAAACAAACAGGGGTCAGAACCAGCTGACCCAAGGTATGAAATTTACTATTAAAAAAAAACAAAGGAAACTGAGTAGGGTGGGAAGCATGGGACTCGATGTATACCGCCAGAGGCCAAGAGCTCTGGATAGCAAAGCCAATAAGATATTAAAACCATCCTATATTACTTTGTTTTCTATCTCCTGAACAAATAAATACTGAAAATATGTTTATCTGTTCTGTTTTACTAGGGAATACACTTTCCAGAATGTATATATTAAGAGAGGATGTATAGTTATTTTGCTGCACTAAGGGGAGGCAAATATAGCGATGGGGGTGGGAAGTGGGGAGATCCTTGAGCAAAAACAGGCTTGAGTAACAGGGGGTCTTGCGTGGGCCTCGGCGTACCATGTCCCTCATGCTGATTACTTGAATAGACCGGCTGCCAAAATAAATTTCCCTTGGACTCCAGGGTTTCTGGGATGTGCTTGGCTTGCCTTGCCAACACAGCAGTTTCTTCCTCACACAAACAATTCTGCTTTTGCTAGTCAGGATATAAACAGAAAGAATGCCTGGTTAATTATTTGTATAAAGGCAAAGATAGCTGAAATCTGGAAATGGCAAGATGGCTGGAAGACTCTTCTTTCATGCATCTGGAGGAGCCGTCATGTGTAGATTGGCACCGACCAAAGCCTACAAACCACACAGCATCTCCAATGGCCTGTCAGAGATCAGATTAAACCTGGGAAAGTGGGGGCAGGGGAGAAGAGGTAGTTAAGAGTGGGAGATCTAAGCTTCCTGCCCTCACATGTGTAAACCTGAGAGGAAATCCCAGGGCAAGCCCCACTTCTAGACAGAACGAGGCAGCAATTTGCAGGCAACAGCCGCATTTGTTATTGTTGCTTTTTATAGCCAGCGAGGAGAGGGGATTTTGGGTTTGCCTGCCTCAAATGTCAAAGTAATTTGGGTGGTTTTGAATGCTCTCTGCCTTGATAGGAGATGGATGAGGTGCTATTGCTGTTCTGCCCCAGGCATCAAAATGTCTGGGAGAACTTTTGGAATCTTTGTCCTGTTTTAAAAGTAACAACAAGCTGGCAAGTTTGGCATTCCAGACGGTTTCTCAGCAGTAGAGAGAGAAGAGCCTTCCACCAGCTTTCTGTGGATAGAATTTCAGAGTGCTCTGCCAGAATGACATGTTTAATTTCAATGATGTTTTGCTGCCCAAGGGGATGGGGAGCCTCACCAATATGCATGTTCCTTTGTTTTGCATTCTCCCATTTTCCCCTTTAACCACTTATAGTGGTGATATGAGAAATAGAGAAGAGGAGCACTGTAATGGGGCAAAGGCATAGATTACTCTCATATTTCTAATAGGCAAATTACGCTTGTGATGCAGTTGCACCCATTTGCGGCATGTTTGGGCAAACATTATTATCTACCTGTCATCCATCCATCCATCCACCCATTGATCTATCAACCCTGCCTTTTTCCTGGCACAGAATCCAAGCCATCGTAAGGCAGTTGTGGTGCTTGTTGGATCTACTTTAACTTTTTTTTACTAGCAGATGGTTCAATGTGCAACCTCTAATGCTTCCAGGTTGGATTTGGAAAGTCTCCTCTATAAAATCATGGCAGTTACTGCCAGTTCGTAGACAGTATTGGACTTGATATATGGAAGCTACCTACATTCAATTAAACTGAATGATTTAAATAATTAAGTTTCCAAAATTAAGTTCATGATATTGTTTAAAACATATGGAAACAAAGTGTAAGTAGTTAGTGCAATTCTACACCACTGAAGCTAAAGATTGTTAATATTCCTTGTCCAAACAACGGAATTCTTGGAATTAAAGCTTTAGTGATAAAACTTAATATTAATTTGAAAGCCATGTAAAGTGCTTCCATATTCCTATAAATTGGGCAGAAGCAACTTCCAGTGCTTACTTATCAGACAATTATATTTTTCATATAAAATGAAAAGTACTTCTTTGAGAAGATAATTCTCCAGGAAGCTAATGAACACAATATCAGAGATTGACAAATCTATGTTTTAGGACTGCAACACCCAGAATCTTCCAGAGAGCATAAGCAATGTGATTGATGGTTGAGAGATTTGAGCATTGCAAATATTGATCTTGTCAAACGCTGCATAATATAACAGAAATATTTTTCTTTGTGGCATTTCTACCAGTTTTTGTAGGCTATATTTCATAGGAAAGAACTGGCAAAACCACCTCTGAATGTTCCTTACCTAAGAAAACCTCTTAAATTCATAGGGTCACCACATGCTGAATTTACCATTGTGCTTAGGAGTCCCCCCATCTTGCTGCCCAATTTCTTTTACAATGGAGTTTGATTTGTGGTGCAATTCTAAATTTGAAGGCATTTTTTCCCCGGAATGATTCCAGACTTAGGACCTTATTACATTGAGGTTCGCGATCTGAGTGATAGTGGAGGGGTTCTCCATGAGTCTGGCTGGGTGAATCCGGTGGGGCCCAGTGAGGGCATGGGGAACCCATTTCCTCGAGCCCTGCATCACCAACAATGTCTCTCACCTTATTCCATGGGGGGAAGTGTTGCCACCCGAATTTCCCCCTTTGTCTTCTGTGCAACATGGGAAACCTCTTGTGTTGCCAGCGCTGCCTCCTGTGATGCTCGAATCTCTCTTCAGCCATGGAGCCCCACCAGACATAGATTGACATCATGTAATAGGATTTGGTAGAGTCCATACCCGAAGAGAGGTCCAAGTGTTGCAGGATGGGCAATTTTGCCTAGTTGATGAAGTATATTGTGATACTCTATGAGAGTGTGCCACAAAGCAGGCAGTGTAGACCTACCAGGCCTACCTCATTCAAAGACCAATTAAGGGGTCCCATAACAAATAGCACAGGGCCTCATTTGTCCTATATCCAACACTGTGGTCACCCTAAGTCCATAAGAGATATAAAGGTGCACACAGATGTATATTTATTATTTATTCTGTGATATTATTTATATTTGGGCTGAATACTGAGAAGATAGTAGCTTCTCTTCAGTAGGCATTTACTTCTAGAAGGCATATGAAGACCTTTAGTCATAATGAGTTAACTGAATTTTTTGTAACTTAGGGCATGTCTACACTGGAATGCTAATCTGGGACAATTGAGCTACCAGGATGAGGACATTTACTGTAGCTGTACCTGCTGATCAGGCCCTGTTGGTCAGTTTCCTTGTCCTCATGCCACTATCACTGTTGCGTCTGTGGCAAGGAGCTCCCTGTAAGAACCTGGCCATAGTAGTCATATCTACTGCGGTAACCACGCAATCACCTAGAACCGGGTAGAGTACATGACTGGATGACCATTTTGACCTCAGCAGACTTGACTGGCATGCTCAGGCTCTTGCAGGGAGCTCCTTGGCAGACAAGATATCAGCAATGGTGACAAGGACAATCCATCTCCTTTCCTGCGCTGATCAGTGCAGGGGAAGTATAATGGTGTTGGTGTGTACGTGGATCAGGGAATGAACAAAATGAGACCTGAACCAACTGTCCACATGGCTGTAAACCCCAAGGACATTCCGAAGTTTCCTAGGTGCTCTGTAGTATCCCCTGACTTTGCTTACTGTGGGGGAAGGTTGGGTTAAGGGGTAAAAGGTCTGAATTCTTCTCAGAAGTCATCATGCATCATGAAGACTAAGTACATTTTTTACTTATGTAAAATTTCCCTAGTCTTCTTCAATGAGATGTTTTTGACTGTAACTCCTATCACAATGTGGTTGTGGGAGTTGTAATCTAATACATCTGGAGGCACCAGTTTGGGAAGGCTGTTGCAATTTCCAACTTATAAAAATACCTCGGTGCAAACTCCTTCAGTTGCTGAGAAAAGTAGGTTTATATTTAATCGTCTTTCCATTTAGGATCTGCATTCGTTTTGGCCTTGTTAAAAAAGATACATGCCCCAGTTGGTGTTCTTTTGGGGTAATAAGACATCACAACCAAGCACTAGAAGATGTATGTCAGATGGCTCTCCAATAACATTAAGGCAGCTGATATATGGGATATTGAAGGCAGATTAAGTTGTTAATGTATATTAGTATATTCTTAATTTCCTTTTAATTGAAAAAGACATATTGACTTTAATTAGAACCATTTCACAGGAACTGTCAATTAGCACATGTCAAACTAGTTAATTCAGAACAGAATTCTTTTAATTAGGGTCTGCTTTCCTTTAACTGTGGGTCCAATGAAATAAGCTTTTCCTTATCAAGATTTTAAATGTCTTTAAGACATACAATACAAATGTAGTTTCTTATCTATTATTAGAAGCCCATATGGACAACATTAAAATGACGATGCTAAGCATTGTTCGTCAAGCACAAATCGGAGCTTCCGTTATATCTGATGCAGAAAAAAAGATGGGAAAAGGGAGAAGGCTTTAGATAAAGACTATTGTAAATATATGAATGTATTCCAATGCAGTAATGTTGAATGCTATAGGATGTATAAGATCCAGGTTCATTTTTTTAAATTTACCTGCTGAAATGAATGGATCCAACCAAATATGTTTTATGTTCTACCAGCCTGAAAGCATATAAGATTTCCCAAGAAGCTGATTGGACTTCAGTTGAGAAGAGACCAGTCAAGAAGGGATGGTGAACGTAACATTTGACTCTCCAGACATTTTGAAGTACTATACTTCCCAGCCAGCATGGAAAATGGTAAGGACTAATGGGAATTGCAGTCCAAAACTTTGTGGGGTTTCCACCCTGCTTTAGAAACTGTTTCCAGTTTCCTGTTGAGAAAATGTTAACTTCAGTTGTATGAAAAAGTACATTGCATTCCTGACCCCTTTGAAACTGGGGTGTTCATGCATAAATTTCAGATTCTATGGTCCTGTAATCACTCATCTCAGATGAATACCAGTTATTAAAGACAGGAAATGGTTTTTTAATCACAAATTCACTTACCTACATAATTTTTGTGCAGTTTTTTTTAAAACCATACTTGACATTCTCTGCCATTGAAGGGCACAAACATTGTTAAAAATGTGGCATGTTGATGGCAAAAATTAAGGATTTGAAGAACTTGTTGATTTAAATGAGTGAATGTTAAACACATATGGAAATTTCTCCCATTGAAATTAATGGGTCACAAAAGTCTTTAACTATGTATGAGTTTATACTGTCTGGTTAAGCTGAGGCTAGTCCTTAGCAGAAATGCTCTGGACTAGCCCCAAAGGAGGTGCCATGCACCATCCTGAACCCATAGAGGTGGCAGGTTGGTGTCCACATATTTAAAGTAACAATAAGAGCAGCACATGCGGTGATCGCTAGGGCATGGAAAGACAAATCGAAATGGACATTATGTAATTGGAATGATTATATGTATGATCAAGTGTTGTTAGACATTACAGGAATTATGACTAAGCAAGAAACAAGAAAAGACAGACAAAAGAACATTACAAATAGATGGAAGATCTCCTTCAATTGGGTGGAAAATGGAGGAGCCAACAATCACGTCAAAGAAAAAATACAAAGACTTTACCAGGGGCTGGATCTGCAAGATTAGTAGAAGTATACTGTGGTTGAGGAGAGAGGGAGAGGGAGGGAGAGGGAGGGAGGGAGGGAGGGAAAAAATATAATTTGCATCAGTGTAAACTACCATATTTGTTGAATTACTCAGGATTTATGCTTGTAATACTTGGAATATGATTTGCTGATTTCTGTTTATAGCATAATAAAATATGTAAAAAAAAAAAAAGGTTGGTGTCCACATAGACCACATAGACCTTGCTGGATTGTCACCTGATTCATATCACTAATGCTGCTCCCAGATGGCCTCAGAGCTCTATATGAGATCCTGGATGTTGCAGATACCCCCTATTGATATCAGGAAGAAGAAGGGGACGGATATGTCTTCCACATTACATTTTAGTAGTTGAAGTATACTTTGTGTTGTATACTTCAATCAACTTCCAATACTTGTCATCCCTTCCAAAACTGCTACACAGACAAGTGCTGGTTGGGGATTTTAGGAGCTATAGTCCAACACATCAAAAAGTGTTATCCCACAATGTAAGGGAAATGCAGTTATCCTTCCTCTGTTCAAGTCATTTTCCACTTTTTGCAATACCATTTTCTCAGAATTATTCTTATTGTGGCTTTCTTCTCTTAATTAATTGCTTCTTCTACCTGTTATTTCACACTTCTCTCTGATGGTAGCCAGAGAGGCTACCTCAGTTACCGAGGCAATCTATTTATTTCAACCTCAACCTTTACAAAAGATTTCTTTTATAATTCAAGGGCCACCCAGTCCAAATAGGTTTAACCCAATAAATAAAAGTTCATTTTATACTGCCTCTTTCACAGCATTCCCATAAAATGCCTGTTGGCTTTGCCTGTCAGCTGAGCCCTATAGTACTATAGTTTGACATGACATATACCAGTATGATAAGTGAATACTTATCATACTGGGAAATGTCATGTCAAACTATAGTACTGAAGTCGTGACCAAAAGTTTTCCCAACTCAGCAACTTTTTATTTAGTTTTTAAATTCCATGATTTCAATTTCAGCACCTGCTTAAGTCATAATCATTGGTATGGATGGGACTTAAAAGTACACACCTTTGGTCAGACAATGGTCGAAACAATCAAAACTGGAGAAGAAAATAAAAAGCAACACTTACTTTTATCATAGTTTTACTGACCTATATCAATGAAGGATTAGGGAGATTAGAGAGAAGAGTACTTATTAGCTCAACTGTGGATTCTAAAGAGGATTACCTTGTAAGATGTTGTATGAATCCTGGCACATTGTTCAATGTATTGTGGGGCTGATTAACTGAACAATAACACCAGTATCATTTACCAAGAAGTAGTTCATGATAATAAGAAAGCTTTATGTGGCATAGTTAAACACTTAACATCATGGACTATGGATCATATTTTAACAAGACTGGAATTGGGGTATTCACAATGTAGAAGTTCAAATGAAAAGTAAAGTAGGCTGCTGTGCATGAAGCATTAAACAACAACAGCGACCTTACATTTAGATATAGGGCTGGATTTGTGCAATTGCTTAGGTGAAGGCCAATAATTGATTTTCTCAAATGATGATTTGAGGCTGAGTGGACAAATTTCTCAGAAGTATTTGCTTGAGTTCTAGTAAACAACTTCTAATGAGGTGGAACATTTTGTAGACATCATTTTAAGGCAAGGTTGGGGAATATGTGACCCTTCAGACCTGGTCAAGCATCACCCAGGCCCAGCGTAGCCTAAAGAGAAGGATGATGGCGGAGAGACAGCCTGAGAATATATTTTTTCCAACACTATTTTTAAAGGCGTCTATTTAAAAGTGTGGTATGCAGCTTCTTGACTGCATGCAGGACAACAGAAGAGAGGTTTACATCCTTTTCTAACCTGGCTTATATGATAGCATACATCAGTTTAACATCTTAATAATACACCATTACCACTTGTCATCCTGAGGAGAAATTTGAAATTGAATAACTGCCTTTTCCTATGGCATTGTGAGAATTTGCTGACAGAGGGGAAGGTAGTGCTGGTTTCTTCCCTTTCAGGAGCTGTTACTCTACTTTCTCTCTTTTTAATAGCTGTTACTACTTAAAAAGAAAGTCTCATTTCCAATGGAGGGTTACAAACAAACAGCTGTAGGGGCTGGTATGGACTGGTGGCTGTTCTGGAAGCATATTGAGGAAATGGAAGGTTTTTGCACCTTGTACATCCCTTGTCTCCCTCTCCACATCCTAAGGGCCTTCCACACAGCCCTGTATCCCAGAATATCTGTTTTGAACTTAGTCCACACTCAGATAATGTGTGATTTCATGTCTCAATATTCTGGGATATAGGGCTGTGTGGAAGGGCCCTTCGATAACCCAGTTCAAAGCAAATATTGTGGGATTTTCTGCCTTGATATTCTGGGATATAGGGCTGTGTGAAAGGTAAGATATTTCCTTTTTGCTTTCTCTTACATAGGAAGATTTTACATAGAAGGATCTTTCTGTAGCCTCATAGAGGAGTCGTACAAGTTTAGATCCCCCCCCTCTCAATCCATGGGAAGATTGTGCCCTTGAGGGCTCAGATTAGAAAAATTCTCTCCAAGTAATTGTAAGATTATATCTTATTCTGAGTACAGGCATACCTTAGTTTATGTAAGTAGCTAGTTACTGGAGTAAATGTATCCCTGGGCGTTACTCCTTTAACAAAAAAATTAGTACTAGAGCCATAAATAGTGTGAAAAGAATAGAAACTCAACAGGAGATCAGTTCAGCATTTTTCAGCAACTTGCTCAGGTAAGACCTGCATAAATAAACAAAAAACATTTTGGTCCTTTCAGGGACTACTTGAAAGGTTTTTCCAAAACGTATCCAGATTTTTTTTCTTACAGGAGCCTCCAATTTTCTTATGAATTCCATTTCACTGATGACACTTATAGATCCATACTTTTTACCTGCTGGGCATGCTTATTGTCTTTTTCTGTTTTCTTGTTTATTTAGTAACAGATTCTGGAGACAGCTATCATTCACCCTGCCTTTTGTAGGCAGGCATAGATAGGTAATAGAATTGGCTGGAGTAGAATAGATTTTTTTCTCCAGCAAAGACTTTTTAAATTGTAGACATACTGCAGTAACCCAATACCAAAAACCACTTTCTACCTAATGATGCTGCTGAATAATGTCTTTCTAGACAGAGGTTAAGAGAGAAAATGGAGGCTAAGTGACAACGAAACTTCACTTCGAGAGGCTTTGTTAACTGAGATATGAATGTATACTGGCAACACAACACGTCACTGAATTTAGAGGGAATTATTTTTTAACATGCTATGACTGTATTGCAATATTTTATATTAATTACGCCTAGGTTTTGGAAGTATTTCATTATGGACCATCATAAATCCTTATTTCCCAGTGGAAATGCTTGACATGATTTTCAAATAATTCATATGTTTCTTCAAGTAGATTTAACACCAAAGCTTGTAATTAGTTTCTTTTTGCTAGAACCAAAGGATGAATAGGTTGTATTATGATTGTAACTTAACGAGGTTATAGGAGTGTGGCTTCACTAAAAAGTAGAGGAGGATCTTATATGCTCACTTGTGTTGTGCCTTATTTTGTTGTCTCTTGGTTTGTTGTGGATGTTAGTGTGGTAGATGGCTTGAGAGTTTATTATGTATCATAGCCTGGCTTATAGCACTCTGATATTATTTACAATAACCAAGAGTAACTATTTTAGTTATTTTTGAGAAATTGGAAGTCTAAGAGTTACCTTTAAAATTGCTGTTATAACAGTAAGTAAGTTTTGAAGGGAAACTTAGAACTAAAATGTAACTGGATACTTAAAATATATTTTAAAACTTTGTATAAAGTATTGAATTACATGATTAGTCTTCAGCTAAACATTATTGACAGCAATACAATTGCTCCTATATCCTTGCGTTAATCATTCTGGAGCAAGGCAGTCTAACAGTATACAACACGACTTTGTGATGTATTTGGATCTGTGATGTTGTTGTTACCAAGGTGGCCTGTCTCTCACCAGTGTTGATGAGGACAAATATTGATTTCTTAGCCTTGGAAACTTTTAAATTTTGAACAACTGCTCCTTTAGGACAGGAGCTGATTCTTGGAAAGTTACCTTTTAAAAATGAATTCATTCCCATTCTTCATTAAAGTGTTTGGAAAAAAGGCAGTTACAATGT